CCCGAACCCGAAGCCTGCGAAAACATTCTCGGACAGGTCGGCTTGCGGCGGCTTTGGCTCGGGACGAACAGACGCCTTTGCCGCTGCCGCCCCCGCCTGGGCTGCTTCATGCGGCTCGTCGGCCGACTCGCGGACCGACTTCCACGCCGCAGCCACCTCTGCTCCGGCTTGGCGCGATGCCTCCTCATAGCTTATTTATGAAAACGTAGGCGAAGTCAGCGTTGGCTGTCAGGGCAAAGGCCTTGCGCCAAGTTGCCACCCGAGTCTCTGCCAACCTCTGCTTCCCCCGCCGCTTCCATGGACTGCTGCGCATAAACTCCCGCCATGACTGCTGCTATAAGCTCCATTCTGTGTCGCAGGCTGGGGGACTAGAGACGGAGCACAGGAGGAGACAGGACCAGGCGGGTCGCCACCGCCAAAGAAGCAAGGTCCAGGTCCACTCCTGTTGTAAGATTGCTCGTGGCCACGAGTCATAATAACGGGTCTCCCCCCGAAGCCTGCCGGGACACCACCGGCACCACTCCTGCAGAGCCTTTGCAGGCCGCCCCACAGCGGTTGCAAATGAGAGCAGTCGGCAAACCACACGACTGGCATGCACAATACAACCTGGTGCCATCGTCGGCCTGCAAGATGCCCAGTCAATACCAAAATGCACGTCAACGGTAGCAAGGAGGGCTCTCGCCAGGCCCGCTCGCCCTGCTGCCAGTCACGCCACACCAGCCAAAGCTCCGTGCCACGGACCAGTGTCGGGTGGGTATGCCCAGCCACCCTCTGCACCAGGTTGTACAAATGGGCTGGCAAAATATCGCTGACGAGGAGTCCCGACCAAGCCGCTCTCTTCGGTGAGGCGAACAGTACACTGCTCGGCTCGGGCAAAAGCGGCAAGCGGCGGCAAACCCTCCTCGACAAGAATATCCCTCCTGGTAGAGGCACCGACAAATGGAAATTGGAAGCCCCCCCGTCTGCGAGACCAGCGGGCACACTGCAAATCTGTGCAAGCAGCAATAGGTGGCGGGGGCAAGGTGCCGTCACACTCGGCAGGTCTCTCAAACACAGGCGGGATGTGTTGTATCTCCAAACCTCGGCTCCAATGAACCAAGCATTCCACCCGATTACCCGCCTCATAGAGCTCGTGAAGCCCGAAGTCTCCAGTCCAGATAGGCCGGTGTAGCCAGGGCCTGCCTGAAAGTGTGATAGCCGTAACCCTCGACAAGGTTAGGTTCATGATCCATGATGCGGGCACCACCGCAGACAGGTTCAACTCCTGAGGCTATCGCAATCAAATCCGCCTATTTGGTTCAACTGCCACGACTTGAACCAAAAGGGAGGATGAACGATAACAAATGATTCATGTGCACCCAAGCCTGCCAAACTCGACACATGATACATACATATATATATATATACATGTATATACAATACATTATGCATACACAGAAGAGGATACTGTACAAATGTTTGAGAAGGAGCGAGTCCGGGAAGTCGGGAGGGAGGTCGGGAAAGGCGAACCCTACCTCGCTGAGGATGCGGCTTTTCGCAGAAGCCTTCGCCGCTTTTGATGAATCATCATCGTCTTCCCGTGACAACTGCCACAGGATGAGGCAAGCTGTGGCACAGTGGTTCTACCGAGCTTCAGCACATGATTCGAATTCGCCCACTCCCATATGCTTGCAATGGGGCTTGGACAAATGTGCTACATGCCACCGTCAGCACTAGCAGAAGGAGGACGCCTCAATGCTTGAGTGCGGGCTCAACAAGGGCACTGACAAATGTCACCCAATGAGGCACTCGCAGATGCCCATGAAAAGCATGGTAAAAGTCTCCTCTTGCGCATCCATCATCAGCACAAGCACAGTTCACGGCTCCAAGCAAGAGACACTGGGAGCCACTCCATTGTGAGACTTTGCCCCACACTTCGCCTCTGCACCGATCTGTGATCAAACAACAAGGCAGACCAAACCCGAACTGAAAGGCCTCACGTGGTTCAGCGGATCGGGCTTTTTGGCTGCCGTTGCCAATCACGAAGTGTTGTCACCCGTCATGTTCTTGGTGCTTCCGTCCGGATGCTGCTTCTGCTGTTGCACGCTCCGATGGGCCTAACTTCCATGCAGCTCCAAGACCATGCTACAAGGCTATCACTTGATCCTGCAGGTTGATGTGGCTGAGATCTTAACGGATCTCTTGCACCCTTTGGCAAAAAGCACCGGCTTGCTTTCCACTGGAGCTCTCTGCGGCAGCGCCTGTGGCGGATGCACTGCTGACTCCTTCAGCAAACTTCATGGCATCGAGGAGCGCCGAGCAAGTCCTCGGCGCAAACTTCAAAGCAAGAGGTCATGGCCATGGCTGTGCCAGGCCGGGCCTGTCCAAGGAGGCCGACACGTTCTTCGCATGCATCTCCTTCAGACTTAGTGTTTCCTGGGCACTTCGGTACTTCTCGGCGGCCGCCTGCCAAACCAGCTTGTAAGTCGAAAGTCAGGAAAAGAGCACTGCAGAGACCTGAAATTGAGAGGGCAAGGGTGCATGAGAGCGCCTTCGAGATCTGCCGCAGCTCCAGGACTTGAGCCTTGCATGCCGCCAGAATCTTGCATGCCGCATACTTGCACAGAACAATCTGAAGCTGTAAGTCTCGCACGCGTGAGACTCGCACTCGAGGGCGCCAGTTGTTCGGCAGTGCTTTAGCAGCTTGCTGAACTGTTCGAAAGAAGACCGGCACAGCTTCATCACCTCAGATGCATGTCGTGCTGCTGCTGCAGCCAAAGTTTCCTCACCAGTCTAATTGGATTCGAAGTCGCAGATTTTGTGCTTCCGCTGTCTAATCTGCCGAGCGGCTGGACAGACCAACCAAGGCCGATGCCAGCTGGCTTTCAGCGTGGTGCACCAGCCCTGCGAGCAGCTGCTAGCACTGAAGCACAGTGACTCAACGAAGATGGGATGTGTGGTGGACATTTGCGGACCCAGCATGCAGTTCAAGATCAGAGGTAAATGCGAAAGCCGGCACTCGCCACCTGCCAACCAGCTTATTAGAGGGAGGCGCGGGAAGTCAGCGCAACGCACTTGAAGCAGTTCCTGGCCAGAAGACAGATTGCTCTCTTGCAACAAGCACTCCGTGGTTTCACAACAGGGCCTCCCAAAGCGCAACAAGAGGAGGGCCAGAGAGGAAGCCCACAAATCCTGGGGACATAGAGATGTGCTGCGTGATACACGATTCGAGCCACCATAAGCGCAGCCAGCCTGAGAGTAGGCAACGTGACCTGCCATGACTTGGGGTCTGCTTGAACTGTAATAAGACTGAGTCTAGTCTGAGTGGCGCCAAGGCGGAAATGGACTCGCCCAAACATTGGACCCCCATGAGCTCCGATAGGCTGGGACTCTGCGACGCCACCAGCGCCTTAGATCGAAAGCCTAAACTGGCCAAAGCATAATCTAATCGAACCTAATCTCCCTTTGAAGAAAACCTCCCGTTTTTCTCCGTCGAGCAGCTGCAGCCGCAGCCCGGTCTCCGTGATATCCCAGAAGTGCAGGTTGCCGCGAAAAGAAATCGGGCCCAAGCACATCCTATCATCTGCCATGCTCAACCCATGAAGAAACTGGTAGCATAGGACAGCTCACCTAGAACAGTTCACATGCCTCTAGAAGGTATATGAAGAGCCAAAAACCTTCCTCTTCTCGGCCGGCCTTGGAACGTGAATTCGACAAGGCTGCTTCCGCAACAATGCGTTCTGTTTCTGTGCATCCGCTTTACACTTCATGATACACTTCAGGCAGAAAGGAGAACCAAAAAGGTGCAAAGACTGAATCGACTGCCACTTGCAAAAAATTGCCTTGCCGACGAAGGTGCAGTAAACCCCAGGCACATGGCAGCCATCATACTGCAGCCTTGCACGTATGTCGGCACAGGATCGCCTTGGCAGTGGGAGGGCGGGGCGATGCAAAATGCAGATTTCACGCTCCAGTGATTTCACGCTCCAGTCCTCCACGTTAGCGAAAGACTTCAGTCAAACTCCACAAGAGCGTGCTGCAGAAAAACGGTTCGGTTCGGCAAAGGTGGCATCTCAGGGCAAACACAAACGGGCAAAAGAGGAGGGACGTCTTCCATGTGAAAAATCTAGGGCGGGGGGTTTCCATGTCTGGGAGGTTCTTTGCCCATCGCAGGGTGCAGGACATTTGCAGGTTGCTAGGGTCCGATCTTCAGCTAGCCGGGGAGGAATCCACTTCACTGTGTCATTGCTCGGGTTCCGGGTGCGCCGTACATGTCGTCCCAGACACTTCTGTAGGCGGAAGATACACCCTCGCAGAAATCCCTTTCTACCTAATTGGTGGATGTTATGTTCTGGCGGGAACGAGTATTCAGATGGATTGAGAGCGCCAGGAATGGAAATGGAAAGAGTCAAGCAACAAACAACATCCATGAATCAAAACCATGACAATGCAGACGATGCCGATGACGATAGTGACAAGTAATGGTCGTGATGATGATGATGATGAAGATGATGGCGATGAGGATGAGGATGATGTCTGCATTAGCATGCAGCGCCGCAGCACACGAGGTCTTCTCTTCACACCCAGATCAACAAACGGTAGCACACAGAAGCGATACTCACACCAACACACGCGGTGCCTGGGAGATGACCGCTCCACCAGGGTGTGCGTAAGTAAGTAAGTAAGTAAG